AATAATTTAAATTCAATTTTTTTAAATCAATTTTTGCAAGGCCCTTTTTTTTTTTAAGTGGTGGTGCCTGGGGTTGAGAGGACAGCCATGGGGAGATCTGGGGGAGCGAGGTGGTGGGGCTTCGGGGGGCTGCAGCAGCTGGTGGGAGATGGGGCCAGGTGGGGCAGCAATCTGGAGGAGGTGGGGGGGGATGTAGGCCTTGCAGTAGGGGGTAGTAGCCCCTGCAGGGGCCATTTGGGGGCCATAGGCCCTGTGGGAGGGCAGCAAAATATATATTCAAGTATTCATGAAACCCGTAATTTAGAGTTCACTTTATTATTATGATAGAGACACTGGTAGGCTTCCACATTGCTTCAACACTGTAGATATATCAGTAAAACATTGCCCAACTGATCTGTCTCTCTTTCTCTCTCTCTCTCATGGTCTTTTGTTTTAATTGTGGAGGAACATAGGTTTGGGGATTTTTTATTTTTCATCAGGGATTTTTCAGTTTTCAAATAGGGAACACCAGAATTCCTGCTAGGGAGGCCAGTGGCAGAACCCTGCCTGCTCAGAGCTGGCATTTTGGACCCATCTGGCTGTGGCTGACCTAGCCAAATGGGGCCAGGAGAACATAATTTGACAATTAAAAGCAGGCCACCCAGAACATCTTCCAGGTGTTAGCTGCCCAGGTGGCAGGGAAGGAGGCACACATGGCAGTAGTGCCGCACAGAGGCCAACTCTGTAGCCACGGTCCACTGGCAGCTGGCCGAGGGGCACATGCCTCTACTGGCTGTGCAGTCCCCATCTGGGTCTGGCAGGTGTGCAGAAGGTCACAGCCAGGCAGCAGCCCCGACTGCCAGACTGCTGCAGTGGGTAAAGGGTGCAGGGAACTCTCAGGGCTGCTTCAGCAGTCCAGCTGGCACAAGGGGTAGTGTCCCCAGGTGCCAATTGGCTGGGCCCCAGAAGCTCCTGAGAGCAAGTAGCCCTGAGCTACTTGCAAGATAGCTTTTTGTACTGATGGGGCCAGGACAGGGCAGCTTTTTATATTGCTGGGGACAGCACAGGTACTGGGCCCGGGCTCTAGTTCCCCCTGGATGCAGATCCAGGAGGAGCCAGGGTGGGTTATTTTGCCCCAAGTGGCACAATTTGCTCCACAACAAAGTGCATGTCCAAGCACGTGCACTGAGGCAAAAAGCCCTGGCTCAAATTTGCAACGCTTCTATTTGAGCAGCTGCAAGTGCATGTGCTTACATGTGTGGATGCGCCCACTGAGGCTATTTTGGACTGCTCTGGCTATAAAAAAGAGCCTTAAAATGGCTAGGAACAAATGTTGCATTTGTCCCTGGACACATCTTTTCTGTGTTTGTCCAAGAACAGAAATATCATGGGATTAGCATGTACACATCACCTTTCCTATTGGGGTTTAGTGAGTGGCTGAATTCATTGCCACTTTTCTGCCATTGATTCAATGATACAATCCTGGTATAACTGTTCAGATGCACTTGGCAATGCCCTGGGATAAACTGGTAGTAGTTTTTCTCTTATGACACTGCTTGTTTTTTTTTTTTAAGATTTTTTCCAAGGGATTGAACATGACTGTCTGAATGATTTTATTTTGTTCTGGGAAAAATGGTTTATCCTGGAACAAGTGTGATATGTTTCTAGTTAATTAGTACAAATTCAAGGGGAGTGTGGGTGAACAAGGCAAGCTTGAAAAGTCCATTTTAGCAGAAAATACGAAGCATCCACCTCTGGAAAACAACTGGATTATTCCCATCCCAGCCTGTGACTGCAATGGTGGGGGAGGGAAGTAACCAGCATTCAGAAGGGTACAAGCCAAGCAGAATTAATGAGTGTCGCTGCTTCTTCCAACAGAGCATTTTTTTTTTCTGTTCTGCTGTAATAAACATGACAGTTTAATCAAACAAAATGTATTAGCTCTGGAAAACATTTACATGAACACATTTCCCCTTTAAAATATCAAAATATAACCATTGCCAATTGCTTTTATTTGAAAATCATGCACAAAACCATTTTCCATGGTGCCTTTCAATGACAAAAGAGGTCAGTGATGTTTTGCATTGTCATCATACAAAATAGATCTCCTGGCCCAAGCAGGGGATCCATTTGTTTACAAATATGTAGCTTGAAAGAAAACAAAGCAAACACTGGGCCATAGGTAAAAGGATATATTTTGTAGCCCCAAAGTAAATGTTTTTACAGAAACTATTTCAGAATAGAAAGATGATATAATAGATTTAAAGTGGCGTTAATTGGGCAGGGATACATCAAGTAGGAAAAAAAATACCGTGAGCAAATATTCTAGGAAATCACTAGAAAAATTAAATTGACTTTGTCTAGTATATTGAGTGATCCAGAAATAATTCTTGTCATGTGAACATTATAGTTCAGTTTAGCCTTGAGTGCATTGTAGTTCATGAAATCATAGAAAAATTAGGGCTGGAAGGGACCTCGGGAGGTCACCCCTGCTCAAAGCAGGACCAGCCCCAACTCGATCATTCCAGTTTAGTTCAGTTTAACCAGGTACCAGATATAAATTTAGCATAATTTCACTGGCATTACTCCAGATTTACCTCACTGTGATTGACTTGGTTGCTAAGCTACCCATGACCCCCAGGGAGTTCAGCTGTACTTGTGGATGCATCACCCTTCTAAAAATCAGCCCCAAGGTGTCCAAAATGCAGCTAGTTGGGATTATTTTTCTGTGCAATCAAAAATTCAAAAGCATTTAACTTTTTACCTATATTCCAGATTTTTATTAAAAAACACTTTTTTCTTGATCTGAAATTTCCTAACCCAAGGGGATATTTTTGGTGGCCATTTCCATTTCACTCAGAAGCCGTATTTTCCGACAGCTTAACTCTCACACTGCATCACCTCAATACCACAGCACAGCCATTGGCCATTCCTTGGTGTGGCTGAGAGAGACTAGGCCAGGGGATAAGGAAAACAGTGTAATTGAGCTCAGAAATAGAAAGTAGTACTTTCTATCTGAAGGCCACAGCGCAGACTTCCTCTGAAAACTATTGCTCTGATGCCATCTTCTGGTTGTCTGTTCCATATTAATTGGTTCTGAATCAAGAAACTCTCTTCTCCATCTTTACTCTTGTGCCCACAGAGGTGAATCAGGAATAAAATGTCCCTATTTGGTGTGAGATTTACTGTTTCCTTTCCTTTCTTTTGTTTTCCTGAAAGCTACCCAGGGCTAATGTGAAACATGGGGCTCTTGTACATGTGACAAGGGTTTATGCCCTCTAAATTGCAACTTTGGGGGGGGGTTGTCATTGAAAAGGTGGGTTTTATTTTTGCATCACTGAAGTGTTGGGTTTTAGCAGTGTACTATTCACAGTAAATTACTGCAGGTGGTGCCATGTAGCAATCCACCCTGATCTCTCCATACTAAATCACAGCAGGGGGTGCCCACATACCACTAATCCCCACTACAGATCTGTCATCTCTATAGCTCACACCTATTATTAATTCATTAATTTCATTAGTTTAATTAAATTTTAACTCATTTTTAACACATATCTTACAACCACCCCTATGAACAGGGGCCCAGCAGAGCTGCCCCATTGGTCCCGTCCCCCCCCCCCATCCCCCCC